TCTCTGACCTCTTGAGTTACTTAACTTCCCCTGCTTTGGTATCTATATCTGTAAAATGAAGGTAATAGCACCTGTTTCATAGGGTTTTTGTGAAAGTCAAATGAAATGGACCTTTGTCTGGTGCAGAGAAGAGTGACTGGCATGCCGTGTGCCACAAACACAGCCTCTTTCTCTTACTCTTCCATGTCGAAAGGCAAGAGAGGAGAGGAGAGTGGGAGCAGCAAGGGAGGAGGCCCTGTGCACACTGGGAGATTGGTGGCAAGTGCCTAAGAGGAGCTAAACTTTGTGGTCTCCCCAATACCCCTGGGTGCTCATCACAGCCCTCCATGTTTTCTGCTGCAACACCACCCCTACTGTAACATTTGGGGACTTCCTGATGGGGGCAAAAAAAAACAAAACAAAACAGGGAAGTCAGCGGCATGTGTTGTCTCCAGTTCTGGTCCAGAAGATTGTCCTCTTTATTCCTCTCCATTGGATCCTGGAGACCATTTAGCCCCAACTGTTCTATTAAATAGATGGAGAAGCTGAGGTCCAGAGAAAGGACGAGTTACCCCAGATCACATGAAAGAACTAGAATCCAGATGCTCGGTCTTCCCCTCTCAGACTCTTTCTTCCACACTACCCCATAATCCCAGAGTCTCCTAACTCTTTGTATTTACCAGCAGGATTCTTTTTGGCTGGGGAACCTCCACCAAGCTCTCCAAGGTTTTCTCTTTGTCAAATGTCTACTGCATTTTAGGCTGTAGCAGGTAATTCACCACTCAACGGTACCCAGCCTAGTGTGAGAGAGCCCGTGATATACACAGAAAGGAGGCTGGGATGTGGAGTCAAAAGACTGGATTTGTAATCCAGTGTCAGCCCTCAAGAGTTCCAGGAGCCACCATATGACCCATGTTAAACCCAGTGTCTTTGTAGAATGAGGATAATGATACTTTTTGTGTGATCATTGTGACAAATAGGTGAGGCAGCATTTAGGAAAGTTCTTTCTAGTCTGTCAGTGTTGGTTCATTGGTGTCTTTTCTCTCCAGGAAGAGACTCTGCCCTCCCTTCCCTGTCTTCTTCCCTACAGCCTACACAGCACCTTTCCCTTCGCAAAGAGCTAGGTGATACATAACAGTTTCAGGGAAGACCTCGCCATTGATTGAATAGGATCGCCTAGGACCAGGATCACCTGACCCTTTGATGCCTCAGGAACCTGACCTCAGCCCTGGCACAGGGACAAGAGGGTGAGGCTATAAAAAAAGACCACTGGTCAGGGGGAGGGGGAGAAGTAAACAGAAGCATGCTGATGAAAAGTAAACTGGATTTAGAAAACAAACTTTAGCTAATGGCTGTAGGTGGTATTAGTCATTCTGTTAAGGAATTTGGGAATACATATGCATACTAATGGGAATTTATTTTGGCTGCTTCTTACTCCAGCATTTGGAAAGGGAGGAGGGGTAGAGGGCACTGCATGATTAAAAGACACTCACCCTGCATCTCCAGAAATTGTGTTTACAGAAATTGCCCCTGAGAATGCATTTGCCCAAATTCCACAAGTCCTGCAGGATAGTGGGGTTGGACCGAGAGTTGGTCCTGGGGGAGGCTGGGCAAGCGGGGCACTAAGAATCTAGGAAGGGCTCCCAGCTTCCAGCTCCTGCAGTGGACTCAGTGCAGAGATCCCAAGATCTTATGAGAACATGCTCCAGGATCACTTTCATCCCCCTGCTCCACAAAGTCACTTTTCCCGTGATGATGAGCTGGGGGTGGCCTCCGAGAAGCATCTAGCACACTCCTGAACCGTCTTCGCACTGGGGTATTGGAGTGAGAGTCGACGCAGCGGCTGTGGTGTGCAGCATGAAGCACGGGGCACATGCTCTCCTTGCCGCATAGAGACATGAAAGGGTGTGCGAAAACATCCTTAAGCACCTGCTGGGAGCTCTCTGGGAAATCATTTATCTGCCCTGCACTTCAGTGCCTCGACTCTAAAACTGAAACAAAGAAATATGTTCAAGGAGCCTTAAAAATCTTCATACCTTTCAACCAAGTGATTCTATTTCTGGGAACTGAGTCTGAGCAAAGAAACAAGAATGTGGGCAAAGACTTAGGTACAAAGATGTTCATCACAGGGTTATTTAGAAGAGTGAAAGTGGAAAATATAGAAGAATCCAGATGCTCATCATTAGAATAGCTTGTGTACAAGCTTTCTCTCTCTCTCTCTCTCTCTCTCTCTCTCTCTCTCTCTCTCTCTCATACACACACACACACACACATATACACACACACACACACACACACTGATAAGACCACCACTTTGGGAAGCTCTGGCTCACCTTTGTGGTCAGCAACCAGTAAGAGCAGTGCAGTAGGACAGCAGTGTTCCTACCCAGTGCTTCTGAACTCAAGGAAGCAAGAAATCCACTATCATTCACCTTTCCATTACCCAAGTGTAGATTTTGTTCTGGGGATTTTCCATGATGAATGTTGACTGCAGACTGGTTTTCTCTTGGTTTTCCAAGGGACATTCGGGGCCCCACCTAAAGCACTGCCAGGTAACTCAGGGGTTTCTAGAACACAGGTACTCAGGGTTTCTAGCACACAGGTACTTAAAATGCACACTGTCAATCCCTTTGAAGAAAAGAACTTGTTGCATTGACCATTAGAACAAAGCCTGGTGAGCAATCAGGTGACCAGGCTCCTAGACCAATGTTCAGTTCAGGTGAGGCAAATATGATTTGGAAAATAAAGCAGTTGTCCTCAGAGTGGCCTGTGGTGCAAGAAGTGATCCATCCAGGTTCAGCTGTCCTTGGAATATCCACATTTCCTTTCCTAAGCTGGGGAAACTTAATGATTGGCTGTTGAGTTCTCTGAGGAGCTGGGACTAGGCCATCTCTCCAGCATCCCTGGGTGCCCTGACCCCTTTGCCATGGCATCCTATTGCTTCATCAGCTTCCCAGAATAGCTCCATCTCCATTCTGGTGTCAGCTTGGTCTATCTCTGCCCCTAGGTTCTGGTACTGACTGGGGTAAGGGGACAATCAAGCCTGCTATCCCTGAACCTCCTGGGAACTCAGAGACCCATGCTTAGGCTTCCTACCCCTTTCATGGGGCCCCTACCTTTGGTATCCATAATCACAAATAAGCAAGGAAGAAGATACCCTCCTTGTTGAGCTCTCCTTTAAAAACAATTTATGTATTTATGCATACAGGCCAGAGCTGCAGGGTGTGAGAGGATTCACCAGAGACAGAGTGGGGAACAGAACAGGTGGATCTATTGAAATACACTGCTGAGGGGAGCAGCGGGAGAGACAGGAGAGGTCTGCTGTGCCATGTGGGTAGCTCCCTGGCTGGGGATCGAACTGGTGCTGCAGTGGCTGCGGACAGCTTCATAGTGCTGAGACTTAATCCTTTGTGCCACCAGGGAGGCCCCCTGATCTCTCCTTCTTTTATTCCTTCCCCTTCTTCCTCTCTTCACATCCTCCCATTTCTAGCACCTATTCCCTTCTACTCATCTCTTCCCCTCCTACTCATTTCTCCTCTGTCTCCCTATCCACCCCTTCTTTCTGTCTCTTGTGTCTTGCCAGCCCACTCTAATACACCCTGAGCATTATCCTGGCCATACTTTCTCCCCCCAGGCTTCCCCGGATCCCTGCAGGGAAGGGCCTGTCTTTCAGTGCCTGCAGTGTCCTAATGTGGCAGTTTTCCTGGGTGCACATGGAGAGGGTACACAGCATGTGAGGACAGGGTGCCTGGGCTTCTGTAGCTATGCAGCCCCCATGACATGCATAGAAAAGAGAGGAGGCAGCCTCTGATATTACTGATTTATGCAGGTGAGCCAATCCTGGGCGGCAGGCACACATCCTCATGCCACATGTGCCTCCCTGTGGGTATCTCGGACAGGTGCACAGGAGATGTTAGCCACTAGGAGGAAAGAGATGGGTTGAGACGTTTTCCCTGGATTTCCAGCTGGAAGCTCAAATTTTCGTTTCCTCAGTGGGAAAGATACATGGACCTCTTGGGAAGCCCAGTAAGACAAAGCCATTTTACCTTCCCAGGATCCGGTTGCTGATCCCAGTGGGTAGAGAGATAACCCAAGGAAGATGGGGCCAAACCTGGACCTTCAGATGCTAACTAAACCCACACTCAGCTTGCCTTAAGGACACAATGAGCTGTCACGTTCCTCGTTTTCCTAATATGACAAACAAGGGTCTCCTGGAGGCTCGAACGAGGGAAAAGTGCTGAGCAAACAGTTGGCGCCACTGCACACCCCAGGAGTTCCAGTGTTGAGAACAGTCTAGTGCGTGTGCATGAACGGGGTGCTCCTTTCCTCACAGGTCCCTCAGTGGGGTGCGGAATGGGAGCTGGGTCCAGGGGTGCTTGTGCGCGATCCTCCCAGCCCCCAACCGCAGCCAGCGCGCCAAGGCTTTCCTCCCGCAGGCAACTGGCTGAAGACTGCAGGGCGCGCTCCGCACGTGAGGCGGCAGCACTCGCGCGGCCGCTGCAGCGCAGCCCAGGCCGCCGAGCTCGCCCTGCGCCAGGGCTGCCCGCTCCGCTGGGCCACCGAACTCGCCCTGGCAGCTCCCAGGGACTATACCCACCTGCCGCAGACCCCGACCACGGCCCCATCCCGCTCTCTCCCTTTGCGTGGGCCCGTTGGCCAGCCCGCTACCCTGGCAGCCCCGACGCCACCCGCCGCGGGGCCCGGGAATCCGTCGGCTTTTCGCCGCGGCGTGGATGGCGCTGAAGGGGCTGCCCTAGGCGGCCGGCCGGGCGGTGGGCGAGGAGCCGGCTCCCGGCTGCTGCAGCTCCGCGGGTCGCCACTGGGGGCTGCGGCGCGGGAGGGCCTGGTGGGGACCGCGCGCACGGCTCCCGGCTCCCCGGTGCCTCCGGCCGGCCGCTGAGCTGTCTCCACCGCCGGCCCCGCGCTGCCTCCGCAGCCCGCCCGGCTCCCTCCCGGATCCGTGCGTGTGATCGCTGTGCGTGTGTGACGGGCGCGCGCGCGCGAGTGTGCGCGCACGGGGGCCAGTGTGCATGCGGGGAGTGCGGGGGAGTGTGTTTGTGTGTGTGCGTGTGGGTGTGAGTGCCTGGCTCGCTCTTGCTGAGACACACACACACTCACACACACACTCACACACACACATACACACAACCCGCAGGCTCGTCTGAACTTGAAGACACCCCACATTCCAAGATGCCCGCGGTTCCTGGGAATGCCTGGGGTTCTTGGAGCTGGAGAATCCTACCAGCATCTTCCTAGGGAGGGATTTTTCTTTTTCTTTTTTCTTTTTCCCTTTTTTTTTTTTTTAATCTGGAAGAGAAGAGAGCAAGTTGTGCTTTTTCCTCCCTTCTTCTTGCTAAATGCCATGGATATAACTGAATAAGCCGCTCAGGGCTCTCCCTCGTGGACGTCCGAGGCCACCATCTGCCTGCGTTTGCCGAAGCCGGAGGGCTTAGCTGGAGCCTGTCTAGGGCGGGGAAGGATGCGTGGTCGAGCCGGGGAACCCGGGCGCCCTGCGGAGCCGGCCTTGGTGCCTCCCAGCCTGGGTTAGATGCTGCCTCGCCCAGGTGAGTGGTCGCCGCCTCCGCGTCTCTGCCATCCCCGGTGTCCGCCTGAGCTGGGCGCTGGGCTGAACGCACTCGGGGAACCCGGAACTTTGCACCCCTTTCTTTTTCACCTTAGCACTCCCATCACCCAGTACTTGTGCAGACACCTTCTTGTCTTGTCCTCATCCTTATCGCGGGAGGTTGCCTTTTCTTTCTTTTTCTTTTTCCTGAGAGTGGGGGTAGGAACAGCCAGGGGCAGGGAGAGCGGGTTCTTGCGAGGCCAGGAAGACCTGGCGCCGCAGATAGATGCAAACGTTGAAAGCAGCAGGAGAACTTTGCCGCCAGACCACTCTGTTGCATCTCCTCACATGGGAGGCCTGGCGAGAGCTCTTGCAGGGGGCCGGTCCGATGCCAGGGCTCCCTGGGCTCAGTGGCTGGGGAGGGTGGGGTGGAGCCCCCTGGCTGGGGTAGATTCAGCGCTGATGGAGGGAAGGAAGGCATTGCAGTTTGGGGAGGCAGGTAGGGCAGGCTCAGGGACTACCCTGGCCATAGGCAGAAGACAGAGACATGGGGGGGGATTGTGTGTGTACGGTTTGGGGCATTTGAATGGCATGATGAAGCAATATGGAAACTGGCATTAAGCATGCCTCATTGGTAGGTCTGTCTCCCACCCAGCCCTGCCCTAGTTCTAGGGGTGGCCTAGGCAGGGAGGAGGGGGAAGCCAGGGCTGTGTGGAGGCCAGCTGGATCTTGTGCTGAGATCCCGGTGAGAACAGGGAGGTATCCTGCCCATGTTCTTGTCACCCCAATACAAAGGACATAGGCAGTGAGTTGGAGGGAGGCAGATCCCCCGCAAGCCGGAGCCTGAGAAAAAGGAAGGAGCCTGAGCAGAGACCGCAGAGGGACTAAGCCAGGCCACGCCAAGTGCGTGTGGACACAGCCTGGGGGGGGACAGACCCCTTCCAGAGAGGAAGCTGTGGGCTCCTTGCACTCTGAGCCAGAGTTACGGGCATGGTACTGACCCTCTACCCCACCACAGTGGAGTGTGTTTGTGTGTGTGTGTGCGCGTGCGCGTGTGAGCGTGCATGTGTTTGTGTGTGTGTGTGTGTGAAGGGGCCCAGTTGTGGTTGCAAGGCTGACCAGCTTTGTGGGGCAGGGGGAGGGGGCTGCTTCAGGAAATTGACCCCCCACGGCTGGGGAGGAGCAAAGCTTAGGGAGGAAAATTGCTAGTCTCTGGGCTGTGAAGTTCCCAGGGACCAGAACAGGCGGTTCTGGGTGGGCTGATGTAAGTGGGTGGGGGCTGATTTGGAACTCCTGGTGGGGAGTCAGAGGCAGGGATTTTGGGGAAGCTGGGAGCAAAGAACCCGGGTCTCCTGGTCTATCCTGCACTGGCCACCACCCTGTACGAAGAGCTGACACAGATGAGTCCAGCCCGCTGTGGGACTTGCTTGGACCTGGGGGCCGACAGGGGAGAAGGCTGTGCAGGGACGACTCAGAAGCTTTGAGAGCCTCTCCTGGTCCAGCCTTCGCGGGCCAAGGCCAGCTGCTGGGGCCTTGTGCTGACGCTGGAATGGCATCCTTCCCTCCTGACTCTGGGAGGGCTGACTTTCCTCTCTCTCCTAAGGCTCCTCGATTGCTTCTGCTCAGCTCCCCTGCCCAGCCCTCAATTGAGAGTTTCTGGTCTAATTCCTGCCCAGGAATGTAATTATTATCTCCCTGCCCTTGCCCAGGGGAATAAAAACAGCCAACCTGGCATTTCTGTCCCAGCCTCTGGCCGTGCCTGTCTGGGAGGTCGGCTCCCAGCTCCAGCTCAGGCTCCACACTGGACTGGGGGCCCTGCTGCTATGGCTCAGACGCCCTGTGTTTTATGGTGCCAGTTCTTTCCCCGGTTCCAGAAATCTGAGAAGCTGAGGAGGGAGCTTCCAGGAGGCAACACTGAGGAGGAGAAGGAGGATGGATGGGGTGGGAATGCAGACAGGGTCGTGGGGGCACTGTCAAAAGCAAGCAGCCTTTGGGCACCCCCACCCTGGTTGGACAAGAGTGGGAATCACCTTTCTGGTCCTTGGCTGCAGCTCTGAGGTAAAAATCAAGAAGCCAGGGGTTCTGAGCTCCAAGTGGCAGCTTGATGATTCTCTCAGGCTGGTGTGGTGGAGCAGGGTCCAGCTGCCTCCAGGGAGTTCCTGGTCCTAAGGTAGGAGGAGTGCACTGTTGGCAGCTGAGGCTTTCCTATTCTGATGACGGAGGCTGCGAGACTGAAAGCAGAGACAAGAAATGGAAACCAACCAGAGATGGTAAAGTAAACTGGACCCTGCAACAACTGGACAAAAAGCAACAACAAGTTGGGCACTGTGTAATTTTCCTTTGGTAGGGGTGGAGTTTTAAGATCTAACTTATTTGGGGGGAGTAGGGGTAGAGTTGTTATATAACAGAGTAGAACCTGAAGTTGAAGGGTTTGGGTTCAAATTCTGCCTCGGCCACATCTTTGTTCCTTAACTACTTGAGCCAACGTGTTCCCATCTGGTGAAAAACTAGTTTGTATCTCTCAGATGTGTATGACCTGCTCTTTGTCCTGGCGTTCTCCATGCCCTGTTTCAGACCTAGAGCGGAGTTTGGTTGGAGGAGGAAGGGTTGAGAGAGAGTGAGAGGCCCTGAGAGGCATACTGGATAGTACCCCCAGTCCCCCTGCTAGAGGAGTTTGATGCCATCACAGTAAGCTGATCGTTAAAAGATTCCAGGAAGCCCTCCAGAAAACTTCAGGAATTGGTATTTGAGAAGCAAATGTCACCTCTGGGGCTGTGACACCTGCTTCCCTCCCTCTCGTTTGCTTTGGATTTTTATGGTCAGGCACATTTGCAAAGGAAGTGCGGGCTCTGTGTTTTACAAGTGTCATCTGTCACCCTTTCTCTGAGGCTTGAGTGTGAAATATCCCCAGAACCCAGTTCAGACTTCTCTTGCCTGACGCTGGCTCTCACTGGCCCAAGAGGGGCCTCAGAGGAGAGTGTCAGGCCCAGGTCAAGTGCATGGCACAGCTCCTCCTGGGGTATGTGCAGGGCCTGTGATTGAACCTAGTCCAAACTGCTGAGGTGGGGGGGCATACCCCACCAGAAAGAGGGGCTCAGCCCTGTGTACTTAGCAGGATCTGACTAATTAACTAGAAGAGTGGTGGAGAGAGAGTGCTAATCATAACAGGTAGTTAGAGCTGGAGATGGGGGTCAGGGAGAGTAGCCAAGTCCTACTTGTTCATGGTAAGAGCAATCAGGAGGACTTCTTGGAAGAGGTGAAGTTTTCAGAAATAGCAAAACCCCACAGAAGTCCACAGACAGAAGATTTTGTTTTCTCTTTAATTATCAGAGGTCACTGGGGATTTGGAAAGTTTCCGGGGTGAGAAACTAAACAAGTGGAACGGATGCTCAGAGAAATATCTTCAGATTCATCAGAACCAGATCCTTCAAAGAAAGTCTCTTGATTGCTTATTTATTCAGATATATCAGGACTAGCTCCTTCAAACAGATGATTTCTTGATTGCTTATTATGTGCCAGGCACAGTGCTAAGAGTTTCACATTATTATTATCTCATTGAATTCTTGCAATTCTGTGAAATTGCCACTATTATTACCTCCACTTTACAGATGAGAAAACCGAGGTTCAGAGAGGTTGGGTACCTGCCAGGTAGCTAGCAAGTGGCTCAGTCATTACTCAATTCTCATGTCTGTCTGAATTCAGAGCCTGTCCTCTTAAGTGGTCTGTACTGTCCTCCTCACAACAGGCCCCATCTAAGCCCTGCTGGCCTCTGACCTGGCTGGGGAGGTGACTTCCGAGCCTCCATCCCAGAACCCCATGGAGCTCAATCTCCAGCATGGGCATCCCTGCCTGCCCTGCCCACCACTACACCCACCATTTTAAAAACTCACTATCAGCACCATTTTCCTGACCAGGATGGAAGATGAGACCCCAAGCAAATGCCTTTACTCCCTGAGGCCCAGTTTCCTGACTGATGAGTCAAATGCTAATGCAGACTTCCCTGTGATGTTGGGGCAGGGCAGCAGGTAGGAAAGTGCCTTATCTGTTGAGCCAGCCCTGTAGCACTTACGGCTATGTTTGTGCCCCTTCCTAATTTAGGCTAAATAACTAAATTGTCACCTATAATGATGCCCAGGAAAGAGGGTGTTAAATGTGAGCTTTCATATATCAGTTTCATGTGGGACTGCAATCAACTAGTAAGATAACAGGCTAGTCAAATGGGCACTGGTCTTCTGGAAAAGTGGGTGATAGAGAACCTCCAGGAGTGAGGCATGTGGTGGGGGATCAGTGGTGGTTGCTGGGACGACGGGGTGCGCTGACACATCATTCACCTTGGCAGTCAGGTGGCCTTATCGAAGCTTTGGCACCAGAGTGAGCGAGCGGAGGGCATTTTGTGGAGGCAGTTTCCTTAGGCAGGTGTTTCTCAATCTTTATTTCATTATTGCTCTATCCAAGAAGCCCTTTTGGACACTTTTTACAAAAAAAAAAAATGTTTCCTAGTTGCATTTCCCATAAAATTTTAATGCCACTGATATACTATCTACCCCTTTATGTGCTGTTTGTTCAGGCTTGATGTAGACGGTAAATTTTTTCACCCCTGCCAAGAGCTAATGTTTGCCCCCTTGGGGGCGCTGTTGCCTCCATTGAGAAAGCAGCCTTAGTGAGCACAGACTCAGATTAGAGAGAGAGGTGAATTGGTGAGGCAGGAGGATCCAGGAGGTGTTGAAGAGGACACATTCGCTCTGGCATGTTGCCAACCCATGTGTGTCCAGGGACCAGCACAGATGCTGCTGGGGCAGGCCGGTGACCAAAAACCTCAGTCCACCCAGATCTGAGTTGATGAGGTGGGGGCAGGTTTGGAGGCCCTACTTTAGCACTTGAAGCTAGTCTTTGAACACAGGAGGAAAGGAAAGGATGTGAGAAGCCAAAGACCAGAGACAACTGTGAGCAGAATTGCCTGTTTGTTAAACTATGGAGTCCAAATGCACCAATCAAGCTCAG